AAATGAAAATAGCCACAAAATCTGGCATGGCATTACCAAACAAACAAACATGTCAGTTTAATGGGCAACTTTGAACCTCAAACTACCCTTTTGAATCAGTCTGTGCCCTCTCTGAACTCTGAAGCATCAACCACATCTATATTTGATTTATAATTTCCGCTCCATTTCAAATGATGAGCTACATACAGTACATTCATGCAAACATATTTACTTCTGTAACTGTAAATGGGGTGATACATCAGTTAGTATCCTGGATCATCTTGGACTTTTCACTAAAACTTTCAAGCATGTTTTGGATGATACTCATACTCATACTCATGGTGCTGCTCATATTAATGTTTTAGTGTTAAAAATTCAGAAGCGTGTCTAGATACATTTGTATATATACAAAGGTGAAAGAGCTATGCTTTTATATGCAATTGTACGTTTTGGAAAAGATGTATGCAAGCGTATGACCTCATAAATGGGGTCCAAAAGTCTGAGACCACAAGTGAAAATGCTTTATTTTTGCTTTATATAATGCTTTATATAAACACACATGATGGTTGTACAGTAAAACATCTCGGTTACATATGGTAACCCTCGTTACCTGAGTAGGGAACAGAGACGTCTTATTAGAGGAGTTTCCTCCTCCGACAAGGCATAGGAGTTCCCATACGAAAAGGAACGTCTCGGTTATGTATGGTAACCCTCGTTCCCTGAGTAGAGAACGGAGACGTCTTGTTCGGTCGCCATGCTTGCTGTACCTTCTCGGAGGACTGGACACCGTCCGGCTCCTCGGCGTAAACCAAATGTGTGTGCGCTCGCTTCCGCTTTATACCTGCACTGATAGGCGGGACGCGGAATGCAAGTCCCACATGCCAATATTCATTGGCTCGTTTTTAATTCACTCGAAGGCAGTTAGTCTCCCTAGCATGATCCCAATTCATTGGAAACTCCTCCGACGAGACATAGGAGTTCCCATACGAAAGGGAACTGTATTCTAGTACATAAAGATGTCCTCTTTTTCCTTTCATTGTCCTCTAAACTCTACCCCTGGCTGCAATGAAACTCCCTCTTGGAAAGGGGTATTTCTTATCAGCCTTGTTTACTCTGAATCAGTAACATTCAGCTCTCTAGTTGTCTACCCTTATCCTCAAAGCAAGTTGGGCAATACCTCACAATTGGGTTGGTCAGACATATAGCTTGGCTTTATGTGACAAGACCTGTTTGTATGTGGACACTCAAAAGACCTCTTCAGAGAGCTGTATAGCAAGTGTCTGCAGACCTGGAAATTGATTAGACTACCCTATCGAGTTTTTTGGCACCTCAAAAGGCAACCACTTCATGCACAATCAACGCAAAATAAAATTCCCCTGGGCTTTTATGAGATATTGACCACACAGCCTGACCTCATAGACCAACTCCAGCAGGTGCTGTTATTCAGGGGCACTTTGAAATTTCCTGGAGTGGAAGAGCATTTGAAGTGCTAGCAGAGAGCTTCCGGTGTTTATGTTCATGTTGATAACTTTATTCACAATGGCAGCAATGAGGTGTTATTGAACTTCTTTAATAATTTAAAAATTAACATCAAATATGTTTGAATGATCATCGTATAGCCATACACGTCACTTATTTAGTAAATCCTTGGATTTTTAGTTAGTTAAAATCATTGTTTATCATTATTAATTTCAAATTTTTCCATTTTCTTAATGGTTTAATTTTAAGAAAAAAAATCAGTAGCCACTTTTGCATTAAAATTATTCATTTTTTTCAGTTCATACATTGCTAGGGAATCGCATGATATTGCATGACCTTAAGCATGTGCTTTATTTTTTGAGCTATATGAACAATGTGTGATTTACAGTCTGTCTAAACGCTAAAAATTACCTTTAGCAAGTGAATGAGAAAAAGTGGACTCTCATCTACAAAAAGCATGGTCCCGCATTAACCCCTACTAGTAGTTAATCCCATCTGGCTGCAGAAAGCATCATATAGTTTTGGGGAAGGTTACTTTTAAAAAGAATGCGTTACAATAATGCATTACACCTTAAGAAAAGTAACTAATTGAGTTTACTTTTATTTGAGATATTTTTTTTTTATGGACAGTAATGCATTACTTTGTTTTTGCTTATTATTATAGTGGAATTGGATCATCGAAGGTCAGCAGCAAAAACCTTATTAAAGAAAGATTAAATACATAAAGTATATTTGTATTATTTAACATAAGGCAGTTTTGTATATTATTCTGAGATTTCACTCCACCTGCTTTTTTACATTTTGAGAAATACTGAATCTGTTTTTGAGCAACTGAGATGAGGAAATGCATGCTCATATTTAGTCTAGAACAGTAGCCATCATGTTTACAAAGTGCAGTGAGCACATAAAAAAAATTAAATTGTGGAATTGATATTGAGATTTTAAAATTGAAAACTAAGGTTGGAGTCTATTGAAACGTACAAAACGAACACTAAATCATTGCATAGATTTTTGAAAGCAGTCGGTGGATGCTATAATCATTCAGATGACATGGCTATGTCACTTCTAACACATCAGAGGTCCTCACCTCAAAAGCACCTGCTGCCTCTGAAATCACTTAAGATGTTTTGATCCCTCAATCTCCTGCGGTAGAGCCGCTACTTTCAGCTTGAGAGATGCTTGAGATCACACAAGATGTGATCTAGTTAGCCGTACAGCTAGCAAACACATGGTTTGCGATGCTAATTAAACTGAGAGACAGGTATGAAAACAAATGATGAGGCTGTAAAGCCCTTTCTGTTTTTCCATCTGTTAAAATAACCCTAAACGTCTGAATACTAAATGCATTTCTGCTTAGCTGTATACTTTGTGTTTGAATCAAGAGCCTTGGGGGACATTTGGTTTCTTGAACACTGCTTAGCAAGGTGGTAAACTAATTCAGAAGCACTGTTCATAAATCTCTGCAACATACAATTTAAGCTGGATCGGATTTTAAAGATGTACTACAAGGAGGAAATTTGATATAATGAAACTGAATGGCATACACTGTAAAAAGAGAAGGTGCCTCGAGGAACCTTTTGGAGTTCTTCACTTTGCCACACCGTCTATATGTAGATCCTCTAGGAACCCTTTAAAAAAGGGGCGGTGCTCTGAGGAACCACCCAGGTTTCCAGAGGAACTCTTATTTTAGGCACTCTGTGGAACCGCTTTGGATGCCTCCAAGAACCAATTTTTATTTATTTATTATTATTACATGTTGTTACGGTTAGCATTAATTTCTATTATGATAAACAAACTGAACCAAATACAAAATAAGAATTGTTTATTAAATATTTTAGATCTATTTTAATACATACACTTCTATGCACTTGGGAAAAGAAGCTAGTAATAGATTAATATCAATGAATAGAATACACAAACAAATAGTTTAATACTACTTACGCAACGTGACTAATCAACAATGTACAGTATATACAACAGGCTATACAAGAAAAGACTTTAGTGATGCACAGATGTGAAAATTGTGGCTGATATACCGATAACCGATATTAATATTGCTGTTATCGTCGATACCGATATTTACCGATTTTAGATATCTCTGTATAGAAAACACATAGCGAGGATTAGGGCTGCATGATATTGGTAAAAAAAAAAATCACATTGCGATATTTTATTTTTCTGCGATATATTTTGCGATAATAAAAACGATTTCACCAGATGACTCGAATAGCTCTATTTGGATAGAATGAATAATTTTAGAATGACTGGGGTGGTTTTGTCATGGAGTAAATCCGCAAAGAAACTATATTAATAGAATGTTAACTAATGTAGTTAACTGGACTTTAATAAATGGAACCTTATTGTGACGCGTTTCCTATTTATATCTCTTGAGTTCATTGTTGGACAGATCAGCTGTTGTCTTAACCTTTCATTAAAGTGAATTGGTTCAAATGAGTCATTAGTTTGATTTGAATTTAAATCATTATTTTTTTTCTTTTTAACATGTAAATAATAAATAAAAATACAGTTATTAATCAATGAAACAAGGAATATTTATTAAAAGAAACAAAACATAAATGAACCACAAGGTAAAAAAAAAAAATCCAAATTATCCAAATTAAAAATCCAAATTAAAAATCCAAAAATCCATTAGTTTGCGAAATGGATGTGTCATTAACGGACCACGGCACACATTGTGTGATTATCCAGGCAGTTTAAGACATTGCACAAGATTTGTCTCAAAACAGAAAACATTTCATCACTAGATTTTTTTGTTGCTGTTGTTGTATATTTGAAGTGTGGTTTGTCATCTGAATGTGTGGAAAGCTTTTTGGAAAGCTTTTTCTTCACAACCAGTGGTAGACCAGGAAAAAAAAACTTTGGTCTTCCAAACTTTTACCATTGTGTATTCTCAAAGATATTCAGTCAACTCAATTTATTAATAAGCGCGAGGGAGGGAAAGAGAGCAAGACAGATTGAAGACAGTGAGAGTGCGGGGCTTTTACTCTCTCTGCTCGTTCTTTCAGTTTACAAGCGCATCAGTCAGTCATCTACATCACTCACTGTTCAAATAAGGCTTTGGCGGTGTAAAATACTGATGTGTAAAAAATGCACCATTTCGGCCGATATTATATTGGCGGCTGATATATCGTCCGTATCCACTAAAAGACATCTCAACAAAATGCATGGAAACACATATGTTCCAATTAATAAATCAATTTGTTTTATTTTTGTTCAAACTTGTATTTCAGCTTACTGAGGTCCCTGCAAATATGTATTATGTGTTTTGTTGCCTTATTTCAGAAACTTTCATTTTTAGCTTTTTCAATAGCCATGCATAAACAATATTCTCTCAAAAATACAAACATGTTGCATAGCCCTGTTTAGGCTAAATAGAGTGTAATTTCACCTTTGCCATTAATATACGAAAAAAAAAGACCCCAAAAACACCTTAGACCAAATAACGCAAGTACACAGTCAAACAATACAATTTCACACAGAAACGTTCAATAAAGTACTTGCATGTGGTGCAGGTAACTTACTGTTATGCCATGTTGCCCCTGAAATGTTCAGATGATTGTAGAAATACAGTGGTTGTTCTGGGGAAACAAAAGAACAAAGCTGATTATCCATTCACAACATAATATTTATTGACCAGTAATTGGTTTTAAAAATGGTATTTGAAGGAATACCTGTAGTAAATAAACTACAGGGCACCTTAGCCTATACTAGGCTATAGTAACGTTAAATGAACAAAAATAGACCAAACTGTCATTACCTAACTCGTGTTATTCATAACAAAAGCCAATGATGTCAGCAGGAATCAACTAACGTTATTATATCAGCAATTTGTCGACACAGTTGAACAGAATACATTGAATTGAATAGCTAAAACAATCTAATACAATAACTCAATGATTTCCATTTGTTCATAAACGTTAACGTTAGTTCATTAGATTAAGTTAGTTAGCATCGCGGCTAAAACCGTCATCCCACTGTGCAAAACTGTAAACATGATAAATAAATAAAATTAATTTAGTTTATATGTATGTGTTTTAATATATAGTGAGTAGACACTAGTGAGTAGTATATTTATATTTCTTTGGCGAGTTTACAAACCTTGTAACTGAGAGTCGAGCAAACAGCTGAAGCTTTGATGAGAGGAGCAGTACTTTCAAATTGGATGATGATCAGCTGATCTTTGCTGCGCGAGGTTCGCTCACTGAAGCGATGATGACTAGCAGCAGTTTCGTGAATCGTGACAGAATAAAACTTTTCTTCTTCTTCTTCTTCTTTTTCTTCTTCTTCTTCTTGTTTAAGTTTTCAATTAATCAATAAAATAGGCCTATACTAAATAAATGTAAGCCTGTATACTGAATCAGACGCCAAAAACAGTTTTTGCGTGTATTTGGCACGCGATTTTCGCGTACATATGATACGCACTTTTTTGCGTATAATACGCACGAACTCCTCACCCCCTCCCCCCTAAACCTAACCCAGGGTTTTTTAGTGCGTACCATATAAACGAAAAAAACACTTTTGGCGTATAAATGCCACGAGAAATGACACTCGTGGTATAGATACGCATCTTCATGAGACTGTGTTGAATCAGAATATATTTTATTTGTATTTTTTTTTTAATTTAAGCATAATAATAATAAAATAGGATAATAATAATAATCTTATTCTGGCCTCCAGAACCATTGGGTTCCCCCAGATGCTGACTTGCTGTATAACGTAAGAGATCTTCCCGGAACCACTTAAATGTTAAAAAATCTTACCCAATAACCTGTTTTATAGCATTCAAGTTCCTCTATTTCCCTCCAAAGCACTTTAAAGGAGTAGTTCACTTAAAAAAAAAAAAAACTTTTGCTGATAATTTACTCATCCCCATGTCATCCAAGATATCCATGTCATTCTTTCTTTAGTCAATGTGTCAAAATCAGTCAAAATGAACAAATCTTTTCCCGAGTCAATTTGTTGATTTCATTCATTGAATGAACCAAATGACACGAAAAAAGATTTGTTCATTTTGATAAACGCATTTGAACAGGAGAGTCATGAACGGGCATCACAGAACAGAGAAAGGCGACCATTTGAGCTTATAAAACTTTGCTTGGTAAGACCCTTATTCATCGTCTGAAATCAATTAAAGCCCTTTGAATGGTTTGCAGTTTGCACTGAAACTGTCTTTTGGACCTTGAATTGTTGGTTACCAGTAAAGTGAAAAATCCTGGAATGTTTTCATCAAAAACCTTAATTTATTTTAACTGAAGAAAGACATGGATAACACGGGGGTGAGTAAATTTTCAGAAAAAGTTTTTTTTTTTTTTTTTTTTTTTTAAGTAAACTACTCCTTTAAACGTACAGTATGCGATTTTTGGCCACCAGGGGTCACTCGTTTAAAATAATAACAAAAGACGTACTTTGATGACGTCGGGAAAGAGCGTGGGCTCACGGGAGTTGTTGTCGCTGTCAATGACAACCAGCTCAGCTCATGACATCATCGTTTCACAAAATATACGGATATACGGCATCTCTCTGTAGATTTAGCTTGTCAAGAAGCTTTAAATGCTACCCCAATGTTTACCTGTGTCTTGCTTCTCCTGTCCCAAACCCTTCTCGGGTCATATTTTTCAGGTACGTTTGAGCTTTAGCTAATGAGCTGGCTGTAGCAGCAGAACGTGCAGGCAAAGTGTAATCGTGGTCCATAACTATAATACAGACGAATATAAATATTAATATTACTACTTCAATGAATGACCTATTTTAGAACATTTTTCATATATAGAGCGCACCGGATTATAAAGCACATAAGATACTGCAGTCTAACGTTTGACTGGGTTTGCGTTATTCATCCTAAAGGCTAAAGGGAATGTAGTAAGTGCGCGGCGCCGGAGGTGAGGCGTTTTTTAGTAAGCATGAAAGAGCTGAAGCGGGCACGTACATTCGCAGCCTGACTCATATGAGTATTCAATGTGCGAGGCTCACTAACAGCAACAGTTGGCTGTTTTGAATGAGACGACACGGTTACTATGAACGGGGAGCGCTTTATGCGCGAGGAGCAGCACCGGGGACAGTGTCTGTTAAGAGTGAGCGCTCGTGAGCGGGCACGTGATTTACACACATAAAAATACGTACTACTTTTTTTTTCTTCGTCATTTTCTTTGCTTTATTGGCGGTAGTCCAGTGTTCCCCTTTGTGTTTGGCGGTTTCGCCGGGTTCCGCAAGGAAGTTAGAGAAAATAGAGGAGTCAAAGGTTATATGACGCCATAGACGGGCGACGAAACGGAAATAAAGAAACGTCCCGTGTCTTCGAATTAAACTATAAATTTCTCCATATTTGAAATTTGGTGGAAACTGTCAGGATAATGTAAGTACACATCTAACAGAAATATATAACATAGATACAATTATTTGTGCTATTTTTAATGCAGAAAAAATACATATTGTGGCTTTAAGGTCTCATGGTAGTGAAAAGGTGACTCCAGAACCTCTGAACTCAATACAAAAGTGCTTAAAGGATCCCATAAGTTCTAGCAAGAACCGCAAAGATTGTCAATGCTCCTTCAGTAACCCTATAATAGAAAGAGCTTTGAGGCACTTAAATTGCATTTTGCAGTGCCTTGAGTATCCAACAGGATATTTGAGGCATCTTTAGTTTTTAAGATGTGTAGTTCCGAACAGCAAACCCATCTTTTCGTCTTGCTTTCTTCCCCACCCGCAAGCATGAGCTGTCAGTGTACACTTCCAATAAAGCTCCTCTAGTTTACTACAAAGGGATTCACACTATCAGAAACTTCCCACTTACACATTTCTATCAAAAGCTCTGCCAAGTCCTGCGCTCAGAGGAGCCAACGGCCCAAAGCTCACTTCAGCTCTAAACAAGATTGCAGCAGACTGTCGAGTGGCCTTGCATCAAGCAGTTATCTTACGGGGATGATGGTTACAATCCATTTCAAATAGGGGTTTCTATTTCTAATTGGATGTGCAAGAATGGCTAGAAACATTTTGTTTAATTGAATTAAAAAAGTACAAGGGATAATTTAGGAAGAACTGGGGTTATTCTGTGTCAAATCAACAAGTTTGGAATCTTCACTGGCTCAAATTTTGGATTAAATGTCACTGATGTATATTTACTGAGAAAGCAAATTATTTGTAGAAAGGGGTCAAAATAAAAATTGTCACCAAAGATTTCGAGCCAAATTACAGGGGGGTAAAACACTTTAGAAAGATGGCAGCATCATTATTTTATTTTTACACAAAGATTGGTTGGTCTATTGGACTTGGACTTTGATCCCCAAATATGGGACTGAACTATATATGGCCTTGAAGATTTCAAAAGAAAAGTTTTTTTTTTTTTTTTTTTTTTTTTTTTTAAGAATGAGTATCTAGAAGAGAATACTTTTAGAGCATGACAACTTTAGAAAAATAATATTTATGGCACTCAGACAGGTATGGTCAATGCAATTGAGCTGATAGAAAACGAGATACATTTTTAGTTTAAACATTCAAAATATCAGCTGTATTCAAAGTGACCCACATTTGATTTTTTGACCAATTGACCAATTTACTCATGGAGCCTATTTAAAATCTCCATATCACTTGGACTGAAACATTAAGGAACTTTCTAATTAAGATACCATAAGGAAAGTTTGTTAAGAAGCAGTTTAATATTAAAATATATTTAATACTTCTTTACAGGTATGCAAACTTGAGGCAAAAATTTTGCCATTTTTGAACTGGCATGTATGAAACAAAGACTGCTAAAGTCAACAGATTCAACTAAGACCAACCAAGCTCTGTGTAAAAATAAAATTGTAAAAAGTAATTTTTACCCCTTGTAATTTGGTTAAAATTGTAATTTTTAAGCCCCATAGTGGATTACTCAGTAAACAATCAGAACAACATCCGTGAAATTTAATATTTTGGCTTTCATCACTATTTATGTTTGTCTTTCTATAGAAAAAAACAAATTTAAAAACAAATCTTTGGTTGAGTTGACATGGAATGACCCACTGATAATTTTAGCTGAGGGAACAACAAAGTGCAAAATCCTGATTCAGCACAATAAACATGAGCAAGCAAAATTGCACTAATCTATCACTAATTGCATGAGTGATGATGCTAAAAAGAATTAATTCTTTGAGGAGTTGGGAATTGAGTTGACTCCAAATTCCTGACTTCTACTTGGAGCCTTAAAAGTTAGTAGAATGGGAGGTTTGGATTTGGAGGTTTGGATTAGATTAGGATTTGAGTGATCCCAGTGACTCAGATCTCTTGATTCTGTTCAAAAGACTCACTGATTCATTCAGTTTCTCTTTCTGTAGGTATACAAGTTGGCAGGAAAATGTGTGTGAATTATTGATTTATTCACTCAAAAGATTCATTCAAATACACCAGTAGATGAAGAAATGTCAAGGGTTTTTGATTCAGTGATTCACAATGCTATCTTATTACCTCGAAACACCTAGACAATATGCATGATTTATAAACTAATAGATGTTGACGGTTTCATCACATAATCAGCTCCAAATGGCTTTTCTGATGTTGTAAACTTGCTCGGTAGGTACAGATTTGCACTTGCAATGTTTTGCGAAACACGAGTTACGACACTCGATAAAAGTGCTCAAAGCCTCAGAATGAAGCTAAAATGCAGGGTTGCTTCAGCAATTGTCTTTTTTCTCAAGTTAGGTTTTGCTTTTGGTTAGGATGTGGGTTTAGTGGGTACTTGAGTATTAGCCTTTTAGAACACAGTTTATTTCTAACCTGTCAGGATAAGTACAAAAACCAACATAAAATGAGTCTTGAAATCCATTGCATTAATTTTTAAATTATAATTAAGTTAAACAACCCTAATTGTGATTTGCCTATAGCTGCACAAAACTGTAATTTTACCATTTTAGCAATAGTTAAACTCTGATAGTTATGGATCTTTTTCTGATAGTCATTTTGATCGCCATGTTGACATGGCTGGCTTCATTTGTTCCACAACAACAACAAAAAAAAGAAGCCGTTTGATTGCCTTATCAACTGCAATCTTATAGATTATAAGAGGTCATTTTTTTCAAATAGAAGGTCAGTCTGTCATCCATCTTTCACTTTCTGTCTTTCCTTTTTTTTTCTCACATCCAAAAATTCTCTCACTCTTTTTCTTATTCTCTCTCCTTTGTGTGTCTGACACACAGCTTTGACAGACGG